TTTCCCCAGTTTTTTCCTCTGTGCTTTAGTTTGTTTGCTAATTTCAACATCTGAGTCATCTATGGGTATGCTTCTAGTAACTGATGTTTTTTGTTAACTGATTTTCGTCTGTATAAGTCACATTTCCCTGTTTATTTGCATGTCGAGTTATTTTTTATTGTGTAGTGGACATTGTGATTGAGATTTTGTAGAGACTAGTTTCTGTTATCTTCCACTGAAGAAAAAGCAGATGTTAAATTATTGGCAGATTACCTTGTTGTGTTACAGAGGCTTGGTTTAGGTTTTGTTAGGGAAGGTGTATTTTGATTTTGTTATTAGTTCAAGGCAAAATCTCTCAGGCCTGAAATATGGTCTTTACTCCTAAAGCATGTCTCTTTTGGGGTTTCATTGGAATGCCTGAAGTATCTACCAAGCCCCTCTAATTTGGTGGAGCTCAAACTCTAGACTCTTCCTTGTGGCAGACAGCTGCTGAAATCTTTGCTTAGGTTCTTTCTGGTGAAATTTTCCTCAGTTCCTTGGAGTCTCATCCCACACAAACATAGTAAGGGCTCAACCATGTATCAGAGGAGAGTATATGCAGACTTGGGTGTTCTCTACTCTGTGGCTTCCTCTTTCCTGAGATTCCCCCCCCTCCTTTAATTTCTAACCATTCTGGTAGATTCAAACCCAGTCCTTTGATTCTTTGGGCCAGTAATATTTTGATTTTCTGCTTGAGCTGTATCTGCTTTGTGCCCTTTGGGCTATGGGATGTCTTCAGAGGAAAAGCCAGATAAATGTGTATCTCATACAGTATGATGCCCTTTTTTTAAGGGTTGAATGCCCTCTTGTTTCTTCTTACTTTTGGTTCCTCTTCTGTGCTTTGTTCTCTTTTATGTTTTGTCTAGAATTTATCACTGTCATCAGTAGGAGGATTAGCCTGATATAAAGTAATCCATCAATAGTAGAAGCTGGTGCCTTTTTATCTCAAATAAAAGAATATGTTGTGACAAAATATAAGAAAGCTCCCTTTTTTTTTTCCTTTGGCTTCTTAATCATTTGTTCCATAAAACTGAAACAATATCTTATTGACTAAAAAATTATATTCATACTCCCCTTTCCCATGAAGTTATCCTTTAGATAAGCAGAACTTTGTATTGATTTTCCATTAATTGCTACAGAATTGGAAAAATTGCTCCCTAAAGTTACTGAAAATGTTAATGTGAACATCTATAAACAGCTTTTTTTTTTTGTTGTTTAATAGTCACCTATATGGTACTTAACATGTGCCAGGTACTGGTCTAAGCAGTTTACATGTATTAACTTTCCTCACCACAATTCAGTGAGGTGGATATGATGAATGCTTCCATTTTTCAGATGAGGACACTCAGGAGCAGAGGGGTTAAGCTAGGAAGTGATGGAGCTGGGGTTTGAACTCAGGTGTTCTGGCTTTATTAGAATTTGTACTCCTAGCCATTGTGCTTTGCTACCTCTCCCACTCTATGCTGTGGGTATGTACCTGTTAATATTTGTGAAAAGTTTATAATCTACTTTAGGAACAGGAACATGATGTTGTATTACATAATAGTATTATATAATATACATATGGGAACTTTCTGTTGTGCCAGATACCCAGAAAAGACTCAAACACAACTTTCCCTGTAAATCGCACCTATAAATTCTAGGGAGTGTTCATCATTTTTTTCTTCTGTACTTTTACAACAGAGTATTTACATTTCTATTGAGTAGTTATTTCTTCTGCCTTGTATTGCAGCTAATAGTTTATAGGCTTGACCTTCCTATTAGGTTGTAAGGTCATTGAAGTGGAGATCACACCATCATTTTTGTAGACTTTCTGCCTTGGCATCTAGCCCACAATGAATATAATAGACCATGTTATTTGAAACTGTGATAAAAATATACTTAAAAATTTTTTTAAATTTATATTCAATTTAGTTAACATATACTATATTATTAGTTCCAGGGGTAGAATTTAGTGATTCATCAGTTGCATATAACACCCAGTGCTCATTATATCAAGTGCTCTCCTTAATGCCCATCACCCAATTACCCCATTCCCCTACCCACTTCCCCTAAAAACATACTTCTGTTTGCCACATAATGAATCTTTGTATATCCATGTATGTATATATCTTGTTTATGATAGGAGTATCTTATATTTGTGTTTTACATCCAGCTTTTCAAAGTTCTTTCCTATCTACTGTCTCTTTATGGAAGAAATATGAGCTTTCATTTACTAATTCATTCAGTAAATATTTTCTGAAAATCTATGTACCAGCTATTGTTCTAGTTGATTAGGATACAGCAAAACAAAACAAAAATCCCTGCTCCCATGTAGATTTCATTTTTGTGAGGAGGTAAAGATAAAAATAAGTAATATGTCAAGTGGTGATGAAAAAACACAGGATAAAGAGAATATGATGGAGAATAGTACTATTTTAGATGGTGTGATCTGGAAAGACTCTGTGAGGAAGTGGCATTTGAGTAGATACCTAAATGAAGTTAAGGAGTAAATTTGTAAATTTTCTTTTTTAAAAAAATTTTTTAAATTTTATTTTCTATTTTTTTTAAAGATTACCCATTTATTTAAGAGAGAGTGAGAGAGAGACCATGCATGCACAGATGGGGGGAGGGAGAGGGACAAGCAGACACTGTGCTGAGCGCAGAGCCTCATGTGGGGCTTGATCCCATGACCCTGAGATCGTGACCTGAGGTGAAATCAAGAGTTAGTTGCTCAACTGACTGAGCCACGCAGGCACCACTTAAATTTTCATTTTTATAAGAAACTGTTTAATTACTGTCAGCCTTATTTCCATTTTGTTTAAGAGTTTGTGGAAGAGTGGCTTAAGACCACTCAGTGTTTTTTCCTCCCCATTCAGTGGCCTGAGCAGTTGGAGCTGCAGACCAGTCTTCAGTGGCAGGCTGAACGCTCCAGTCTTCAGTGGGGAACTGCTAAATAGGCACCAAGGGCACGTGCATGCCTTTAGACCAGTCACCTACTTCAGGTTGAGTAGTGGTGAGCTCAGGAGCTGGAGCAGTCCATTCACCCTGAAATTCCTCCTTGGTCACAGCCTTTTTAGCAGCAGCCTGCTCTTTTTTTTTCAATCTCTTCAGAATCTCTGTAGAAGTAGAGATCAGCCATGACCTCCCATGGGTGTTCATGGGAGATGGTGCCATGCATGTGCAGAACTTCCTGGACCAACATCTACCACATCAGACCCAGAAGAGTTCCACGCAGAGGGAGTAGCAAAGACAAAAGCCTTTAAGTTGGGAAAAACAGCAAGAAGGGTATATTGGAAGTGCTAGAAAAATGAGATGGAAAGGTAGTGGGGGTAGTGTGTGTGAGGCAGATTATGAAGGGCCTTTTAAAATATGGTAAGGACTTTGGGTTTTATTCTAAGTTTGATGGAACAAAATGTTCATTGGAACATTTTCAGCAGAGTCACATCTGAATTGTGTTTAACAGGTTCAGTCTAGATGCTATGTACAGAATAGGATGCATAGGGAGCAGGAGTAGAATCGGAGACCAGTTATGAGGCTGTTGAAGTAATCTAGACCAGAGATGTTGGCTGTTTAAATTAGGATTGAGGCAGTGGAAGTGATGATGTGTGATGTGTTCAGATTTGGATATATTTGAAGATAGAGCCAGAACCAAGAGAACCTGCTGAAGAATTTTTTTAGGGTATGAGAAAAAATAAAGGAGTTGGAAATTATTTCCATGTTTTTGGTCTGAGTGACATGGTAAATGTTAGTACCATTTACTGAAATGGGAAACGTTGACAGAAGGGGCCAACTGAAACAAGCTATGTATCACTGCCCTTATTTTTATATGAGGAAACTGAGGAATAAAGAGTTTTGATAAACTTTGGGCTAGAATCCTTGTTGCCTTTTTGCTAGCCCCAAATTTCTTCAAATAAGTGTCTCAGTATGTTTTATTATTAGTTTTACTTGTATGATGATAACTCATGTTCATTTTAAAATTCTTTGAAAAGAAGAGCCTGAGCAAGGGTGTTTTAAAAGCCTTTGAGAAATTACATATTTTCTAGGATGGTAATGGTCAAAGAGCCTAGCGCCTTGTAGATATTGAGTAATTGTTTGCTAGGTTCAGTCTCATCTTCAACTTTGACATTTTAAAAGCATGTATCTGTCTTGTAGTTAAGATAACTTGCATGAATTGAAAATTGCAGTTTGTCTTTCAGAAGGTAGTGGTTAAGACTAGGAATCATAAGATCTAGGTTTGGAGTCTTGGTCTGCCCTTTACTTTTAGTTAATCACTCTACCATTCTCATCCTTAGTTTTCTCATCTGTGAAATTGGAATGATACCTACTCATCTCACATAATTACTATGAAGATAAATTGAGATCATGTATGCTTAACAGTGCTAGCATACAGTGCCTATCAAATATGCAATTAAAGTTTATGGAGTGTTTTTTTATTCATTTGAGAGAGAGAGAGCACCATGAGCAGGGAGGAGGGTCAGAGGAAGAGGGAGAAGGAGAAGCAGACTCTCTGCTGAGCAGGGTGCCCAATGTGGTGTTTGATCCCAGGACCTCAGGATCATGACCTGAGCCAAAGGCAGCCACTGTACTGACTTAGCCACTTAGGTGCCCCAAAGTTTATGGAGTTTGAATTGTAATAAAGCTACCATGAGATATTCACAGATTTTAAGGAAATTTGTAGTGGAGAAAGTTTGTGGGAAAATTCTGTAATTTTTTTTAAAGATTTTATTTATTAGAGAGAAAGTACGTGCATGTGCGCATGAGTGGGGTGGGGAGCAGAGGGACAAGCAGATTCCCCTCTGAGCAAGGAGCCTGACATGGGGTTTGATCCCAGGACCCTGAGATTATGACCTGAGCTGAATGAAGTCAGACGCTTAACCAACTGAGCCACCCAGGCACCCCAGAAAATTCTGTACTTAAACACGTTAATTTTTCCAAAATTATTATGTATATTAACATGTTACAAAGAATATTTTACTGAAGATAAATGTTTGTGTTTACAGGTATTGGTTTGCCTTGAAAAAGGGTTATCATGTGGCTTTCAAAAATAGCAGCAAAACTGATAACTTTATGGAAGAACAAATTGATCCACATAAAGAAGTTATAGATAGAATGACTGATTTGAGCATGCTCAGGCTATTTGAGACCTACCTGGAAGGCTGCCCACAACTTGTTTTGCAGCTCTACACCTTTCTGGAACATGGTCAAGCAAATTTCAGTCAGTGTAAGTCTTTCGTAACACCCTGTGTTAAATGGATGTTCTGAGATCTTTTTTTTTTTTCAATATTTTTTTGTGGGCGGGGAGGGGAAAAAGGGAGAGGGAGAAAGAGAATCTTTAAGCAGGCTCCATGCCCAGCACGGAGCCCAACATGGGGCTTGATCTCCCAACCCTGAGATCATGACCTGAATCGAAATCAAGAGTTAGATGCTTAACTGACTGAGGCAGCCAGGAGCCCCTCAACTACATAACTCTTTAAAAAGGTTTTGGAAGTTTTCTTACAGTTTTTTACTTTTTAGAATTATTCATTTTTTTGAAAAGAAGTATATTGTGGAAATATCAAAAAGTATATGAAGATATATTGTCTCCCTCTCCCTTCTTCCCGTTTCTTCTTTTGTCTGCCCAGAAAGGAAACTATTATTGTTAGTTTTTTGATGATTCTTTCAGAAAATTTTTTTAAAAATCTATATTCTTTTTCAGAAATGATAACATAAAAATTGTCTTTGCTTTTTACACTTAACAGTATGTCTTGGAGATCTATCCATATCAATACAGAAATAACTCTCTCATTCATTTTTATTATCTGCATAGTATTACAAGTTATGTATGTACCATGATTTATTTAACAAGCCCTATATTTATGTTAATTTAGGTTGTTTCTAATATTTTACTCTTGTAAAAAAAATGCTGCAATGAGTAATCTTATGCAGGAATCATTTTGCATGTGTGAAGTATATCCATAGGGTAAATTCCCAGAATTGGAATCATTGGATGAAAGTGCAAACACCACAAAATTGTGAAAATTTTGTAAGTTGGCCAATATATTCCTCCTCTCTAGCAGATTTCCTCATTAAGGTAAAATGTTCATTTTTAAAGGACAATTGGTATTTTCATTAAAAAAACCTTTTTAGGTATTTAATTTGAGATGTTAAAAAAACCCATTTGCTAAATAATAGCCCCAGTTTTCATTAATGACTCTGGTTCTGTGTTTACTTGGATTCATCGCAGAGGAACAGATTATCATTTTCCCTGGAGTTCCTTCTATGTTAGAGTCACCTGTGAGATCAGTTCATTCCCTCAAACAGTCTTCTTGTTTCCAATTTCCCATAAACCTCTAGACTGTGGTCCCTTCTAATATTTTTACCTTTACTTTGATTGTTAGTAATACATCAAAGAGAATGTACTTATGAGACTTTGTATTCCTTGTGATTCAAAGAATTTGTGGGTTTGTGCTTAAAAGTTCTATATCATATAGTTCTTGAAGCTAGAAGTTCGACATTTAGAGCTTACAGCCTGTATTATGGTAGATTTTCTGATGATTCCAAGTAGTACACAGCATCCATACCAGCAGTGGGATCCAGTAACAGCTCTCTTTATGTTAGTGTTCTATCCTCCATCCTTTAGTTTCTTCTTGAAGTAAGAAGTTTAGATGTTAGTTAAAAATAGCAAAAAATGAGAAATCTAATTATAGACTGTTAGTATAAAAATGATGTAGCCACTAGAAATAGTATTTATAAATAAATTTTAATGACATAGAAAAGTAATTCTAAAATAAAATTCAGGCAAAAAATTTATGAAATTTTCTATCATACTTTTTTTTTCTTAAAACAAGCTCTGGTCAGTTTTATTAAAGAAAAATTTTGTGTGATTTACTGTTCACCAGTCTGTTCTGGCATGCTTCTAAGGATATCAGAATCACCTGGATCAGTTATAGCTAGTGTCATACTCTATAGTATTTCCCACATGCTGTGCCCAATTCAATATTATTGCCACTGTAGTGATGGACACCAGTTTTGGACAACATGGTGTAGTATTCCTATTTTAGATCTCCTCAAGGCTGGGCAGTTGGCGAGGATGACCAGTTTCGCTTTGCGTGTCTGATCATTTTCAGAGGAGACTTGTACCCCAGCACATATTTTCCACTTTTCATAGTGAGTTGGAACCTAGAGTTGATTGACTCCAGCGACTTTTTCATCTTCTTTGTGGCCACCATCTTTTTGCCTTAGATGTGGGACGGTCCCAACCCAAAACAGCTACCAAAATGGCCAGGAGAGAGAAAGGAAAGAGTTCCCACAATGCAAAGCTCTTGATTGCCAAATTTTCTATCATACTTTTAAGGATACAGAGAAATTATTATATAGGAATGGAAGAAAACATGCAAAACGTCAACTGTGGCTGCTTCTTGGTAGTAGGATTATGAATGATTTTATTTCATCTTTAAACTTTCCTGAATTTAAAAATTTTCTGTGGTACTCATATATTGTTTTGACAATCAGGAAGAATAAAATGTACAAAAAATCAGGTTATATATAGAAGTACTTCAGAAGACTGAACATATTCTTTTATCTTTGCACTTTCCTGAAATTATACTAAAAAGGGGAGTGAAGGAGTAAAAACCATATAAATCCACAAGGACAAAGAGAATGTAAAGTAGAATAGCAGATTAGAATATCAACAAATGTTTAGAAGATGGAAAGCAGATGGAAAACAGATTATTTAAATAAACTTTACCACTGAAAGTCTAAATTATTTGAATTAATCCTCTCTCTGAAAATACATAAAACAATTGGTTATTTTTGAAAGTCTTCATAAAACCATAAAACAGTCTGATATGAGAGGCCAAAATATACTTGAAAATGGGAACACAGGGTTAATAAGATTCTGAAGGCATTTATACCTGGAGGGTTTTTTGTTTGTTTGTTTGTTTGTTTTGCTTTTTAACCAAACCTGTAAGTAGCAGATTCAGTTTTGATAGCTTCCAGTGTGTGGACTGAAGACAAAACTCAATCCTCATAAGGAAGGGACGTCTGATAGAAAGTTCTAATCTGTAGAAATGTTACCCCAAAAGGTACCCTCCTCAGGGCAAAAGTATCTACTTTCAAGAGATAGCAAGGAATATTGCCTTGCTGCTGAGTAGAGCAGGGAAACATAACAATATAACAATTTTGCAATCAAAATTCTCATCTTTAGTCCAAAAAACAAAAAAACCCAAAAACAAACTAATAAAAGCCAAGCTATGAATATAGTTTAAAGTGGTCCCAGACTGATAATGACCCTAGCCATCTTGCACGAACAAGTGTAAATCCTCCCTGGAGGAATTCACTTACTCTTGGGCCTCAGGTAATTTTCACAGATAGTTTTCCAAGGAAAATGAATGGCTTACAGTAATTTATAGCACCAAAAGAAATAAGGCATCATGAGTAAGAACAGCAGAAATAGAAAAAAACTTATTAAGCCCTTAGATATTGGAAATTAACAGTTGCAAAGTATAAGACATACATCCTATTGTGTTGAAAGAGGTAAATGAACTGAAAAATATAGGAAACTATAAAAAATGAATTGTGTATTTGAAAAAGAAAAGAGTAGAATTTATGAGAATGAAAAGATTTAAGAATTGAAATTAAAAACTTAGCAGATAAGACATAACTGTATAGACAGTGATTCAATGCCAGATCAGAAGAAATTATTCAGATTATACTTTATAGAGACAAAGAGATAGAAAATGTGAAAGGGATATTAAGAGACATGGAAGGTGGGATGAGAAGGTTTAATATACATCTGAGCAGAGTCTGTGAAGGAGAGGAGAGAAAGAATGGAACAGAGGTAATTTTGAAAAGTTAATGGCTGAAAAAATTTCAGAAATGATGAGAGTCACCTACCCACAGATTCAGGAAGCCCTTCATCTGACAAACAACTAAGTAAAAGAAATCCATGCCTTAGCATATCACTACTAAAGGAAATTTCAAAGAATATACTTCATGCAGGACAGAGGTGTTCTGAGATGCAAGAAGGAATAAAGAGGAAAGAAAATAGTAAATACGTGAGTAAATCTAAATGAAGACTGTAAAATAAAAATAATACTATGTAGTTAAGAAAAAAATAGAAGGAAAGTATAAGAGAGTGATGACATGTAAGTCTGGTAGGAGATAATGGAGTTAAAGTGTTTTAAATTCCTTGTATAGTCCAGAAAAAAGGTAAAGGAAAGGTGGATCTGGGTTATTTGAAGTGTAAAACTAAAACATTTAGAGAGACCGTATTTAAGAAAAAAAATATAATATGAAAACAAATTAGATACTGTGTTAGTCTGTGTAGGCTGCTATAATAGAATTCTACGGCTTAACCATCAGAAATATATTTTCTTCAAGTTCTGGGGATGGGAAGTGTAAGATCAAGGTGCCAGCAGAGTTGGTTTCCGGTGAGGGTTCTCTCTTTGGGTTGCAGATGGCCACCTTATTGCTGTGTCCTCACATGGCCTTTCCTCTCTGTATGGAGAAAGATCTCTGGTGTCTCTTCCTCTTATAAGAACATCAGTCCTATCAGACTTGGGCCCTGCCCTTATGACCTTATTTAACCTTAAAAACCTCTTTAAGGCACTATTTCAAAATAGAGCATTAAGGGTTAGGGCTTCATCATATGAATTTTGGGGGAATACAGTTCAGTCCATAAAAGGTAGGAAAGAAAACATTTTAAAAAAATACAGATAGCTGACAAATGCCACAAATTTCACAAGAGGAAGAAAAGCAATATATTTTTTATTATTTTGATACTCTAATATTTTTGGCTGCATACTCTGATTGACTTGATAATTTTTAATTTTGTAGAGAGAATAGAAAAATTCAATGTTTTTTAGCATAGTTGATTGAAATTTGTTTTTTATTTTAACTTAGAAAAGTTTCAACTTCACAAATTATTAATAATATGTATATTTTTTGGATTGTTAAGTCTGGAAAAACACTGGCAGTTTTTTTACTAATGTGCTACAAAATCAGAATATATCTAAATATCTAAATATCTAAATATCTAAAATCTATCTAAATCTATCTAAATATCTAAATATCTAAAAAAATATATTTTTTTTCATGAAGTAACTAATTTTCAGTACTGTTTGAACTGACAACACTAGTTTATTATTGATGTCTCATTTAGTAAATATTGGTAGTCTTAGGTTTTCTTCACTGGTGTCAGTAATATCAACTCAGAAAATAATAATCTGTATATGCATAATTTGACAAGGTCATTTCAGACTGAGAGAAATACATAAGCAAAGATACGGTTGTAAAGACAAGGAATTTAGTTTGGATAGAGTGTGATTTAATGTTAGGTTAGCTAAATGATCAGAAAAATATATTAGAGCAGGTAGATTAGTAAGAAATGGGAAATAGTTTCGAACTAATCATGTCAACTGGATAAGGCTAGACCATTATGCCTAATGTTAAGTAATCAAAGGCCTGTTGATGGCAATACAGTGAAGTATCTTTTTTTTTAGATTTTATTTATTTGACAGAGAGAGAGACAGTGACAGAAGGAACACAGCAGGGGAGTGGGGGAGGGAGAAGCAGGCTTCCCGCAGGGCAGGGAGCTGATGCAGGGCTGGATCCCAGGACCCTGGGATCATGACCTGAGCTGAAGGCAGACGCTTAAGGTGCCCTGTGAAGTGTTAATATCAGGCAAACTGCCTGAGAATCTTAGCTCTGTCACTTAGTAAGATTTTAATTATTTAAACAAATCTTATAAACATATTTCTCAAAACTAAACTAAATGTGTTCTCAACTCAGTTTCCCTTAGGTCTTCAAAATGACCACAGCCACTTCAATACACCAAGGGAAAATAGAGAGTAAGTAGGAGTAGAGACAGGGCGTTTAATCAACTGCAGTTAAAATGTCTTATTTTCCCAAATCTTATAAAAATATATGACAGAGTGAACACATTGCTAGAGCTTTGCTAGGCTTGAAAGGACCTGGGCAGGTGTGAGTCCCTGAAATTTAAGCTTCATTACTTTTTTTATAAACCCATCTATGAAGTAAAACATTAACATAAAACTTTGATATATTAAATATGCATGTTGTGATTTCTAGCAAAACCACCAAAGAATAAAACAGCGTATCACTGAAGGATGTGGGTTATTAGATTGAAAGTGTGAATAAAAATGGCCATACTGAGCCTATCATTATAACATTTGGAGAAGCAAGGATAAAGATAACATTCTATGAGATGTGAGAGAAACTGAATGGCATTGAAATTCTTCATTGTATTACTTGAAATTAGAGCTTAAAGAGTAATGACTTTAAAGTTTCAATGGAAAACATTAAAAAAATTTTTTTAAGGTTTTTATTTATTAGAGAGTGCATGAGCGGGGTGGAGGGTAGTGGGAGAGGAAAGGGAGAAGCAACAACCCCCCCCCCCATGCTGAGCAGGCAGCCCTATGTGGAGCTCAGTCCCAGGACCCTGACCTGAGTGGAAGGCAGACGCTCAACTGACTGAGCCACCCAGGTGCCCCGAAAATATTTTTTTTAAAAGATTTTATTTATTTATTTGACAGAGACACAGTGAGAGAGGGAACACAAGCAGGGGGGAGTGGGAGAGGGAGAAGCTGGCTTCACACCAAGCAGGGAGCCTGATGCGGGGCTCAATCCCAGAACCCTGGGACCATGACCTGAGCTGAAGGCAGATGCTTAATTGCTGAGCCACCCAGGTACCCTCCCAAAACATTTTTCAACTTTTTAAAAAAGATTTTTAAAAAATTAATTAATTTGAGAGAGAGCACGCAGGGGCGGGGGGGCGGGCAGAGGGAGAAGGACAAGCAGACTCCATGCTGAGCATAGAGCCTGACTTGGGGCTTGATCCCAGGACCCTGAGATCTTGACCTGAGCCAAAATCAAGAGTCAGATGCTTAACCAGCTGAGCCACCCAGGCACCCCACATTTTTTAACTTTCAATTCTCTTTCTAGCAAGACTGTATATCAAATGTGAGGGTAGAATAAAGATATTTTGAGACATACATGGTCTCAAAAATTTTTTGCTTAGGTGCAACATCTCTCAGGAATATCTGGAGAATGCTTGATCAAAACATGAGACTAAAGCAAGACTTGAAAACAGGAAACAGGAAGTTAACACCAAAGAGAAGTGAAGGGAAGTTCTGGGAAGGCAGAAAGCAAGACTTGAAAACAACCACCTTAGACCAATAGGATCCTATTCTTAGAAAAAAGGAACAGATTAATAGATGTGTATATAGGAAGTTTTACTAATTAATTAATTTGAAGATTTTCCTAAGAAATATTGATAGGATTATGAAAAACTAAGCAAGTGAAGGAACAATGAACAGTTTTAAAAGAAAGGAAATATATCAGTGTAATACTTGGCTGAGCAATAAAAAAAAAATCTTTACTTGTGTAGTTATAATAAGATAAACACCAAATACTGACTTTTACCAAAAATTGTGATGTTACTCTGTTGGGCTAGACAGAGGGAAAGGAAAATGCAAGTAAGGTGTGTATTTATGTGTGTATGTGCTAAATTTTCTTCTTTCCAAAGAGGAAATCAAGAAGGAGTATCTAAAGCAGATAAAGTAAAAAATATTTGTTTTATTTATAAATACAACAATAAATGTCAGAAGAAAAGTTAGAAGAGTTTTAGTGATTTCTTCTGGGGGCTGTGACTGAGAGGTGAGGAGGGGTAGAGCTTAGTGACATTTAAATTATATGTATTAATTTTTTTTGTTTATTTGTTCAGTTGTTACATATATGTAGTTTTGTAGAAGTTAAAACTAATTAGAGAAAAAAATCATAGGACAATTTAGAGGAAAGCAGTGCCTTAATTAAAATATACTAGAATTAAAGAAGAAAGAAAAAAGTCCAGCTAATTGTATGGTCCAGCATGGAATATTGTAAAACCAGGAGAGTAGACAAAGGCATTTAAAATCATCATAATCTTCTTCAATAGGTCAATTTAAGTAAATTGCTTTTTTATTCTAATATATAGACCTCCAATGAGACTAAGTGGGAAGGAATAGCATTCTGTATTCTGCTTTAAATTCTTTCTAATCCTCTGATGTCTTTGCTTTCAGTTTTATAAACGTTCTCAGCTTTGACGGGCTAATGGCATGCCTTTTCAAAGTAATACTGAACTTCTGTAATTTGTTGGGGGGAGAAAAGGGGTAAAGATATCAAGTCTATAGAAATCTGTAAGTTTTAGAATATATTTATATTTTTGATTCATCATCTAAAGAAATGGGAAATTGAGCTTGTTGATACCTTATACTTACATTAAATTTTCTATTTAACCTCCCTCTCTTCCTCCCTTCCTTCTTACTGCTGTCCCCCATTATGCTGTGTCTGGGTGAATTAAGTATATATTCAAGGTCAAAGCCAAAGGGACTGGAGAAGCTAGGACTGTAATTGTAGAGGACTTCCAGAGTGTGCAGTTTCCATTATACCAATTGCACAATAAAATTTGTACAGTGAATTTATTTAAAATCTTATAAAGCAGTCTAATATAGCATTTAAGTACACCAACTTTGAAATCAGGCAGATTTAGCTTCAAATCTCAGCTCTCTGCAACTTGCTAGCTGTGTGACTTAAGTCAAGTAATATGTATATTTTCTAAGCAGCAGTTCTTTCATATGTAATATGGGAATATTAATATCTATTTCAAAGGATTAGGTGAGATGAGTATATAAAGTACTTGATGTGTTTTAGGTGTGTATATAGATAAAGATAAAGCATGTATGGCATATAGTAATTTAATATTGCTATTATTATTCTTATAACAGTATATCTATTTTTTATTTTTTATTTTGTAGATGCAGCCATTACGGTCTCTTGCTGTGCTATTTCTTGGTCAACTGTTGATTATCAAGTAGCTTTAAGAAAATCCTTGCCTGATAAAAATCTCCTTAATGGATTCTGTCCCAAATTCACATACCTCTTTTATAAGTTGTTTACATTATTATCTTGGATGCTGAGTGTTGTACTTCTTTTATTCTTAAATGTTAAGATTGCATTATTTCTGTTATTATTTCTTTGGTTTTTAGGGATATTGTGGGCATTTAAAAAGCAAACTCAATTTTGTGCTTCTATAAGTATGGAATTGTTATACAGAGTTGTTGTTGGATTCATTCTTACTTTTACATTTTTTAATATTAAGGGACAGAATACTAAATGTCCAATGTTTTGTTATTATATTGTAAGGGTATTGGCCACAGTGGGGATATTGGTTGTGTTCTGGATTTCCCCAGTCTCTATTTTTAATTCAGACTATTTTATGTCTATCAGTATCACTGTAGCTCTTACTCTTGTCCTTGGAATTATTTTTCTTATTGTTTATTATGGGACTTTCCACCCAGACAGAAATGAAGAAACAAAACCTGATGAAATTGATGGAAGAGCAGTTCAAAGAGATTGTAGAATGAAGTATTTTCTAATGGAATAGCTATTCATTTGTGAGATCTGTTTTCTTATTTTTTTTGTTTCATTGGTTAATAAAGAAAATGTTATGTCTATGTGTTGTTTCTTATTTTTGCCTATTTATTTTTGCTTTTAATTTGAGATCAGTTTTAGTACATTAACTATGAATGTGAGAGAGCATAGTAATACTTTATTATTTAAATTAATTTCTCATTTGGTTTTAAAGATCTTGGGTACTCAAGTACATTTCCCTCTTGCCTAATAGAGTTGCCAGCTTGAGCCTGAATTGGAAGAAATGTTCTGGTTCCCTGAAATTAGAAACCTGGAATTGAGCTTCCCTTCAACTTTTCCCTCATTCTTTCTTTCTTTCTTTTCTTTTTTTTATTATGTTCAGTTAGCCAGCATATAGTACATCATATGTTTTTGTTGTAGTGTTCAACGATTCATTAGTTGCGTAGAACACCCAGTGCTCATCCCAATACGTGCCCTCCTTCACTCCCTAATTTCTGAACTACAACTAATGCTTGTTGTGGAGAACTGCAAAGGGAAAAGAGCAGAACGCTCATTTTTCTTTCCTCTGTGTTGTTGATTCAGTGCATATATTTTGAGTTGGGGGCAGATTGAGTAGAGGAAAAGGGAAAAGAAGGAAAGAGGAAGAAAGCAAAGCATCAAGTTTACCATTTTTAAGTGTACAGTTTAACCTAGCATTAACTTACATTCACCTTGTTGTGCATCTCTATAACTTTTTCATCTTGCAAAACTGAGACTCTATACCCATTGAACAACTTCCTATTTCCCTCTCTCCAGCCTCTGGGAACCACAGTTCTATTTTCTGTTTCTATAAATTTGACTACTTTAGATACCTCATATAAGGGGAATCATAGAGTGTTTGTCTTTTTGTGACTGGCTCATTTCACTTAGCATATTGCCGTCAGGTTCATCCATGTTGTGGCATGTGACAGGATTTCCTTCTTTTTTAAATGCTGAGCAATACTCTGTTGTATGTATATGCCACATTTTCTCTATCTATCACTGGGTTGCTTCCACCTCTTGGCTATTGTGAATAATGCCATTGTGAACAAGAGTTTGCAAATATTTCTCTGAGATCCTGCTTTCATCTCTTTTGGTTGTATACTCAGAAGTAGGATTGCTGGATCATATAGTAAATTATTTTTAATCTTTTGAGAAAACTCCTTAACTGTTTTTGATAGTGGCTGCACCATTTTACAGTCCCACTAATAGTACGCAAGGTTCCAGTTTCTCCACATCCTCACCAACACTTGCTGTAATTTGCATTTTTGAGAGTGCTATCCTAATGTGTGTGAGGTAATATTGCATTATAGTTTTGATTTTCATTTCTCTGTTAGTGATGTTAAGCATCACTAATGATGCTAATGATGTTAGCCATTTGTATATCTTCTTTGGGGAAATGTCTGTATTGATAAGGGGTTATTATCCAGAATATAGAAAGAATTATAGCTCAATAACAAAATTAAAATAACCTGATTAAAAAATAGGGAAAGGACTTTAAGTTACCAAATCAGATATTAACAATTTCCTGCATTATTCCTTATACTAAGTAGTAAATCTTGGTCCTAGGAGTAAATAGGGAGGACAAGTGGATTAGGCTGAACTCCTGGAAATAATGAAGTTTTTCCATGAAATTCTCATTTCTTTTTCAGTTTCTTACCCTTTCTTTCCCTTGGGTAGGGTCTGAATGAATGAGTTCTCAAATAGACTTCTCTAATACCAGGAGGAAAAATTTCCATTTCTACATTTAGTCTTATAACTTAATGTAAAAGTGTTATATAGTTTCAGGATGAAGGGTAAACTTAGTAGATACAATGCATTTCAACTATTAGTGCTATTTGAAAACAATAAATGTTAAGCACTAACTCTGTGCCCAGCACTCTGCTAGGTACTGTTGTGAGTACAAAACAAGTGTATAATGGAGTTCTGTTCCTTGGAAAGGTTACATACTGAAGCATTTATAGAAACTGACCATCTATCTTTCAGAATGTTTACGGTTTGTGATTTTCATTTTATAGTAAATGAAACAAAATATTGAATAACAGAATATATTATATATATAAAATATATATATTTTTCTTCTTTTTTTTAAATTTTATTTTATTGTTATGTTAGTCACCATACTAACTTGAGATATTCACATCATTAGTTTTTGATGTAGTGTTCCATGATTCATTGTTTGCGTATAACACCCAGTGCTCCATGCAATATGCGCCCTCCTAAATACCCATCACCAGGCTAACCCATACCCACCCTCCTCCCCTCTAAAACCCTCAGTTTGTTTCTCAGAGTCCATAGTCTCTCCAATTTCCCCCCTTCATTTTTCCCTTCCTACTATCTTTTTTTTTTTTCCCTTAAACCTGTAATGTATTATTTGTTTCAGAGGTATAGGTCTGTGATTCATCAGTCTTACACAATTCACAGCGCTCACCATAGCACATACCCTCCCCAATGTCCATCACCTAGTCACCCCATCCCTCCTACCCCCCACCACTCCAGCAACCCTCAAATTGTTTCCTGAGATTAAGAGTCTCTTATGGTTTGTCTCCTTCTCTGGTTTCATCTTGTTTCATTTTTACCTCCCTTCCCTATGATCTTCTGTCTTGTTTCTCAAATTCCTCATATCAGTGAAATCATATGAGACTTGTCTTTCTCTGATTGACTTATTTCTCTTAGCATAATACCCTCTAGTTCCATCCATGTCGTTGCAAATGGCAAGATTTCGTTTTTTTTTTTTTTGATGGTTGCATAATATTCCATTGTATATATGTACCACATCTTCTTTATCCATTATCTGTCGATGGACATCTTGGCTCTTTCCATAGTTTGACTATTGTGGACATTGCTGCTATAAACATCGGGGTGCACATACCCCTTCGGATCCCTATATTTATATCTTTGTGGTAAATACCCAGTAGTGCAATTGCTGGGTCATAGGGTAGCTCTATTTTCAACTTTTTGAGGAACCTCCATACTGTTTTCCAGAGTGGCTGCACCAGCTTGCATTCCCACCAACAGTGTAAGGAGGGTTCCCCTTTCTCCGCATCCTCGCCAACAGATGTCGTTTCCTGACTTGTTAATTTTAGCCATTCTGACTGGTGTGAGGTGGTATCTCATTGAGGTTTTGATTTGGATTTCCCTGATGCTAAGTGATGTTGAACACTTTTTCATGTGTCTTTTGGCATTTGTATGTCTTCTTTGCAGAAATGTCTGTTCATGTCTTCTGCCCATTTCTTGATTGGATTAGTTGTTCTTTGGGTGTTGAGTTTGATAAGTTCTTTATAGATTTTGGATACTAGCCCTTTATCTGATATGTCATTTGCAAATATCTTCTCCCATTGTGTCATTTGTCTTTTGGTTTTGTTGACTGTTTCCTTTGCTGTGCAAAAAGCTTCTTATCTTGATGAAGTCAGAAGGGTTATATTTATAGAGTATATAAACTCAATAAGATGTCTCCTGTGCTACTCTTTGAGAAAGTTAGGCAACATGGAAAAACCTTGCAGGAACTAGGGAATCTACAGTTTACTTTGGGCACCTGATCCTTGTAGTGTTAACCCCACTTACTGCATATCTCTCTGTCTCTGCATGTTTGGTGGTATGTGTATATATTTATGGTTAAGAGAGTGAAGATGGGAAAAGAAGTTAGGCTCACTTAGTGGCGCTTTAATCAGAATCTTTGAGTCCTAAAGGACAAAGACTTTAAGTCAACATGAAAGTGCTTTTCATTCTTTTCTGGAGATTTAAATGTTTATGTGTTATTTCCCTTCAGTATAGAGAATGTCTCAGCATTTTCTGTAGTTTCATGTCTTTATTTTTCCTTCATTCTTGTATTTTTGCTGGATATAAAGTTCTGGGTTGACAGTCCCCCCCCCCTTTATGCATTTCAAAGATCATTCCACTAATTTCTGGCCTCCATTGTTTCTGATGAGAAGTTAGTGATTATTGAAGTCATTATCCCCTGTATGTAATTTGTCATTTTTCTCTGGCTTTTTAAAGATTTTACCTAGTGGTTTGTTTGCGGTAGTTTGACTACTATGTTTATGTTTGTACTTTGGGCACCTGATTTTCCTAATTGGGGTTCTCTGAGCTTCTTGAACCAATAAATTTTAGTCTTTCACCATATTTAGAGAGTTTTCAGCCATTATTCTTCACATATTATTCTTCACATCTTCACATTATTCTTGACATCTTCAATCTACTGTTAAGCTCATCTAATGGTTGGGTGCCTGGGTGCCTCAGTTGGTTAAGGGACTGCCTTTGGCTCAGGTCATGATACTGGAATCCTGGGATCAAGTCCCACATCGGGCTCCCAGCTCAGCGGAGAGCCTGCTTCTCCCTCTGACCCTCTCCCTTCTCATGCTGTTTTTCTCTCTCTCTCTCAAATAAATAAATTAATTAAAATCTTAAAAAAAAAGTTTTAAGCTCATCTAATGGCTTTTTAAAAAATTTCAGAGATTTTATGTTTTTGTTCTAGAATTTCCATTTCTTATTGTTTTTATTAATCTAAGATTTTTGCATCCTTTTTATTCATTATGAGCATATTTTACTTTATATCCTTTATTGTAACTACAATAGGTGTTTTAAAATCCTTGTGTGTTAATTTAAATATCTGCATCATCTCAGGTTTGGTCTCCATTGATTGCCTTTTTTCTTGAGCACAGGTCACATTTTCCTATTTCCTCATATGTCTATTAATTTTTTTATTATATCCAGGATGTTATGAATGATGTATTTTAGACTTCTCTTGATCCTGTTTGTTATTGAGAAGAAATAGATATTTTTTTCTTTTAGCAGACTGCTAGCTTGAACTTTGAACTATAAAGTCTTTATTTGTTTAGCCTTCAGTGTGCTGCTTGGATTCTGCCTCCCATATGTATAGTTCAGTGTCAGTCAGAGAATTAGGAAGACTTAATATATGGAATAAGGCTTACTTTCTGTTTCTTTTCTCAGATTTTCACCCTCACTTTTCAGCTGCTGTGGTCACTCCATACTCTGTCTTCTGGGCCTTAGCCACTAAGATTGCAGGTTTTCTATGTTTTTGTATTCAGTATGTTGA